GCAGATTGAAATTTGAAAATCGACACGAAAGAATTTCTAATCTACAAGTTTAGAAACTAGGTACACGCAAACTCCATGTGAATTAATAAACCGAGGTGACAAAATAACAGCGTATGCACGATAAAACAATTTTAGGTTTTACATTTCCGCCGAAAGAACATTTATCCATTTTATCGGGCAATGTCCTGTTTTTTACGATCAAACATGCCTCTCAAGTTTATTACATCTGTTGTGACATGTCTTCACATTTATTATGGTGACATCTATGAAACAAACATCGTTTATCCCTGTACGTTAAACCTTGAACCCAATTCGTGACATCCATATGTAACCTTGTATAAACAACCCAGGAATTGCTTCCACTTCAAAGAACTCCGCGTTGGGACGCTTGGTCGATAATACAGGTCATTCGAATATTCTGAATGGATTTCACATATCAATTAAGCTTTATTGCTGAATAAAGTACCGCCCAGCCCAATAATCTCGCAGTTACGTAACTTGAAACGGCCAGGTGATCAGCTCGCTTGCCTGCCAGGCAGGACACAATGCGTGTGTCGTTATTAATCAGTCACCGTTGCCAGCTGGGTATATACAGCTTGTGATCAAGCGGTCATTGCCCTCATAAGCTCCGACTCGAACTTACAAGCTACACAAGCTGGACACGTAAACGTGAGTGACTTATATGTTTCTTTGTTGCGTTTTTGCCACTCCAGAAACAGAAACATCCAAACTAAAATGACAGCGACATATGACTATTCTGTTGAGGCAAACGTCAGATGTTTACGGGAAGTGTTTTTTTCCTTATTTTTTAAAAATGAAAATAGCTTCCTCTTTGTCCAAATTCCAATGTGCCTATGATATGACAATCTGGACAAGTGGCCTCTCTCGGACAGAGTAGGTTGATCAGGACACAGGACATATTGTGAAACGGATTACAAAGGTGCTTTATACCAGTTACCCAGTTGGATATGTATTACGTGAGAGGAATGTGTGTGGATGTTTACACGCATGCCCCCACCACACACACTTCTGTGTGTGCCGTGTGCGTGCATGTAACCGACATGTTAGAAGCTCCCAGCTGTTACCGCGTATTATTGGTCCTGACTTGTGACACGTCACCGGAGAGAAAACAATATGGCGTCGACAGGAACGTATCCGATTGCTGCGCATGCGCTATGGAGGTTGGATGTTCGTGTCTTGGCAAACTTCTGCCAATCAAATACAATCATATAGTTAAAATCGATTTAAAGAAACTAAGGAAAAGAATGCGAGTGAATAAATGAAAAATCCCGGATGTTTGAAGTAAACGTTGGACAGAAATAGGATTTATCTATCCTGACAGTGATCCTGATCTGTCTCACAACCTGGTGTCCCCCGCCGCGATGCTGCTGGAGCGTTGCTGAAAGCGGCGTAAAACTAAACACATTTCCTCACTGTCTCAGCCCTGAACGAGAGGCGGTGGGGTAGCCTAGTGGTTTAAGCGTTGGCTCGTCACGCCAAAGACCCGGGTTCGATTCCCCACATGGGTACAATGTGTGAAGCCCATTTCTGGTGTCCCCCGCCGTGATGTTGCTGGAATATTGCTAAAAGCAGCGTAAAACTACACTCACTCACTCATCCCTGAACGATATCACGGCCTGTAATGGAAAGCTCTAAAGGAAGCAAGCCTTTTTTCCCCTCAGGTTCTGAATCTCCCATCTCACTGAGGCTCCTATTTTACCTTTTCAATTTAAATGAAACCATTCTTACTCTCAAAGTTAAATATTTTTGGAGCTTAATCTTCTACAATTATCTAAGTACTGCAATATATATTTTATTGCTCCGAACTAGTGGTAGGGGCAATAGAGGGTTGGAAAGGGGGTATTTCCTTTAGTAGGACATGCATATGCTAATGAGACTGAAGGGATCGTTGTCGGCGCGGGTTCTACAGATGTGTACCCCGGGTATATAGCCAAACTCATGTCTACATATCGGCGTGCTCGTGCCGACAACGACCCCTTCAGAGCTAATGGGCGTTAAACAACAAACAAAGAGCGATAAGAAGAAGAAAAGACAGAAGAAAGATAATTTATTCGAGTGACTAGCGATACGGTTCATTTTCGCTTAATGGTTCATATGTTGATCGCCCGTCCATCTTGGGCCTATTAGACACCAATGACAATTGATACACCAATGACAATTGATATATGTTAAAAGCACTTTAAGTGCTAAGATAATACATTTAAGATATATTGTTAAGCATTTACATTAAAATATCATATAGAACATCAAGTTAAAATATCAGTGGAGTTGGGAGTGTTGAACAGTCTACGTTTGAACATAGTTACAATTAGTACAGCTACGGTATTCGATAACTTATCATCACACTGCATAATAAATGTACATGTAATTTTATCTGAACTAGATTGTTGGCTAAAATTTATATCGGAGGCTAGACTAAAAAGTGTTACTCTCAGATCAGAACATAAAGTACAGTCGATAAGAAAGTGTTTCTCGTCTTCAACATTAGAAGAGTTACAGTGTTTACATACACGCTGGTCTAAGGGAGTTTTGGTTTCTTAAACCGACCAAGTTATATTTCTAAAGGGAGTGTGCCACATCTAAATTTGGCTAGATAACTTCTATGAGCTCTGTGATTTAATGCGGAAACACAATAAGAAGTACTAAAAGACATTTTGAAAAGGCTGTAATTCCTTATCGTGTTACCATTTAGACTCCCCCGGTCATCCCACAGTTGTTCATACCATTTCATTTTATCTAAAGCTATAAGTTTACTTTTCAACAAAAATAAATCAGAAGTTAAAGTCAGTTGTAAACCTTCGCAATACAAATAAGCAACAACAAGAAAACCAATTCTATCACTTTAATTGTGCGACACACCCTGAACGTGTTCGTGTGTTTTGTTCATTATATATACATTGTAACTTACGGGTCAGAGCAAATGTCTTGTCAACGTCTAAAGTGGGACAACACCCTTCTCTCAAGGCCCCGGTGACATACAAAGGACAGTTTACTCAACTCAACATTTCCGCAAAACGTGTTTAGCCATCTGTATTTTTTATGTTTCTCATGCCCAACCTCACCCGACAAGAGAAGGGCGGGCGAAACAAAATAAATAACTATAAAACATGTTGTTTTTCACTTTCACTTATTGTGTTACATATATTATGCAAAATTGAGATCACTTGGTCTGAAAATATTTAGGGACCGTTCATAGTTTATGGCCGGGGGTGGTGGGGGCTGTTGATGGTGATTATTATGGAGAAGCATGTACAATGCGAATGCCCCTCCCCTTAAAATGTATGTACAAAGTTACTGACAAACTGCCCTGCATGTCATGTACATAATCAATTAGTCCCCCCGCCCCGTGATATTGCTCGAATGCTGCTATTTATAGCAGCGTAAAACCTCACTCACTCCTGCTTCAATCTTGCTCTTTGTACGGAGGTTTTGGAGAGACTCATGTCTCTTAAAGCTGTTCAGTCACCATCCTTTCAAAACGTTACGATAGGATTTATGACAAGATATTTCCAAATTTACGCATCAGTGAAAAATTGACTTGCCGTTGCTAGTATTTGTGGCGGGTGTCATCGACAGCGCAGGATACGCTCACCTTTTCGCAAACACCTGATACCATCACTATTTGATAGTGTTTCATAAAAACCTGCTTATCAAATAGTCCGACTCAAACAATCGACTCTGCCCTTATTACGCCGCTTTCAGCAATGTCCCAGCAATGTACCGGCGGGGGACATCAGAAATGGACTTCACACATTGTGGAATAGAACCCGGGTCTTCAGCGTGACAAGCGAACGCTTTAACCACTTGGCTACTCCGCTGCCCCATTTTTTGTTATAGCTTCAATGACTTCAACCTATACTGCTCCCATCAAGTCAAACTACCACTTAGGTCAATGTTACAAAATCTGTTATCTGTATATCAGTATAACGTTCCGGTGAAGTTGTAATCATTCACTATCGAAACATCTCCGTAGTACAGGGATAATCACACGCCGAATATCGTCTTTTTTATTTTAGACGATGCCATCATTTCAGTGGGGATCCATGAAGATCCGGGTTAGAATTGATCTTCAGTAAATCATGCTTGTCATAAGAGGCGACTAACGGGATCGGGTGGTCAGGCTCGCTGACTTGGTTCACACATGTCATCGTATCCAAATTGCGTAGATCGATGCTAATGCTGCTGATCACTGGATTGTCTGGTGCAGACGCGATTATTTACAGACCGGCGCCATATAGGTGGAATAATGAATGCGGCGTAAAACTAAACTCATTCTTTATTAGTGGCCTGGGGATTGAACCACTTGTCTGTCTGCTGGTGTGAGGCTGGTCAATAGTAATGCGAGAGATATTATACGTCCGCTTCCCAAACGTGTTAGAAAGCATGGTTGAACCAGGAAATTGTTGATACAGGTTATTTCAGATTTCTCTTTTAAAAAAATCACTTCGGGTTTTTATGCGATCAAAAATCTCGTGGTACATTTGGTCTATTTGAACTTTATTTCCGCTTCGACATTAATAGTGACAGTTTGGACCTAATGCGTTAAGAATGTATTTATCTAAATACAATCGGTGCAAGTACTCTCCAAACAAGGAGGTTTGATTGTTGTTTTACGCCAGACTCATCAATATTCCAGCTATATGGCGGCGGTCTGTAAATATTCCAGTCTGGACCAGACAATCCAGTGATCAAAAGCATGAGCATCGATCTGCGCGATTGGGAACCGATGGTGGTGGTGATGATGATGATGATGATGATGATGATTTTATTTAACCTGCTCGTTCCAACACAATGTGTATTCGATGGTACAATTACCGACTGTTTTGTCCTGTGTCTTTCAGAGAAGTTAACAGTTTAAACAAGAACACCTATGACGGTATGAAGACGTCAACGATAGAAACTCAGCGCAATCTCCTTTGAACCATCGCCGGAGTCACCAGCTGCTGTACGTACCACTAACTGCCTTTGTTCCTATAAACATGGTGTTCAACGGGCAACTTACCGGTTTTACCGTTGATGAAGACCAGAACGGCCCACCATCACAGGTGGCCCCTTGGACTGATGATGATCTGTTTATACAATCTGACAACGAAGTCACCCCTATGACTGACATCGAGGACAGCTCTGGTGATGAAGTATATGATGAAGAATACCTGAGGATGCACATGAAATCTGCACATGATGAAGTGAAGAGTGGCCTTGACGTCCAGCAATTAGGTATCCCGAGGACAACGAAACAAATCAAGAATGCAGTGCGGGAGAATACACCCAGTCCTTCTTTTGAAAATACGACAGGGAGACACAGCTACAGCAGAAACGAGGAGGAAGAACTGGATGATTTGAAGGGGAACCCCGTACATACGCGGGTCGGTATCATACATGGCAACTCTGTCAATAGTCCATGGCCAAGATTAGATCCCAACGAGAAGGTTAAAACCAAGGCCATTCCGTCAGATCTTGAGCAGATATCAACGGGACATCAGGACAGTGTCAGGGATGCAAGACCAACTGTATGTGGAGCGGACATACAGACAACACATGGGCAGACAACCGTATATAAATACGATGGCGACTTCAGATCTGATAGTATTTGTCAAGATCACATTAAAAAGGAGAGTCATACCCAAGGTACGTTTCAGACCATTCCGTCAGATCTTGAGCAGATATCAACGGGACATCAGGACAGTGTCAGGGATGCAAGAGCAAGTGTAAGTGGAGCGGACATACAGACAACACATGGGCAGGCAACCGTATATAGATACGATGGCGACTTCAGTTCTGATAGTATTTGTCAAAAGCACATTAAAAAGGAGAGTCATACCCAAGATACTTTCCAAACTGCCGCGTATGAAGACATATTAATGAAGCATCAGAGTGAAGATACAGATTCAGTGGGAACTGGAACAGGAACTTTTCCAACTGGGGATGTATTGGCAGCCACAAGCAGATATGGCGAGGAAATGGACTGTAATATTCAAATAAAGAAAGAACAAGTTTCAGTAGTGGTTCCCGATCACCAAATAGATACCGCTATGGATACAGAGGAAATGGAGAGTGGAAAGAGAATAGATTCTAAAATATTTTCATTTCACGTCGAGAGAAATGTACACACACGTTGCGGTGCTTTTGGTGGTGATGATGGCGTAAATAGTGATGGTGCTGGTGCTGCTGATGATGATGGTGATGGTGGAGTTGATGGTGGTGATGGTGGAGTTGATGATTGTGGTGATGGTGCGGGCGACGGCAATGGTCATTTGGAGCCACACGATCCAGGAAATTCTGGGATACTGATAAAAACGGAAGTTTGTGGTTCAATTGAAGACAGTGCTTCAGTGATATCTCATCATGATCTTAGTGTCTCTTCCATGGATGGTTGCAATAGTGATGTCTGTACAGAGAAGGAATCTGATGTCAACATGGCCGAAACTTTGCCATTTCCAACACGACTTGACAGACCAGAAAATGATAAAATCCGAGTGAACTTAAGTAAGTCAGTTGCGCCTTCTGCAACACATCCAAGTGTTCATCTTCAGCAGAAGACGCCAGGAAAAGGCATCTCACAACAAGACATGTCCTCCCCCAGACATAAGAAACATCAAAAGAAGAAGAGGGGTCCGAAACCAAAACCAGGCAAAGTGTGCACCATCTGTAAGAAACGATTCCCTTCTTCGGAACTGAAGCAGCATATGCAACAGTCTCACAGACACTCGTGTCAAATATGCCGTAAAACGATCAAAGACTTAGTGATGTTCCAAGGCCATATGAGGGAGCATGCAGGCGAACCTACCCCATTTTGGTGTGATCAGTGTAACAAGCGATTTGACCGGTATGCTACATTGGATAAGCATAGGAGGGTGCATTCTCTAAAAGGACGTTGGGAGTGTTCCAAGTGTGGAAAAGTGATCACCCGACATGATAATTATCTCAGACACTTGAAGGTTCATGAGGACTCCAACCTGAACAAGTGTGAGAAGTGTGGCCGACAATACGCTTCAGCTGTAAATCTCCGAAAACACATGGTGGTGCATTTAGAGGAAAAGCCAATAGAGTGCCCAGTATGCGAGAAACGCTTTAATTTTAAAAGCACTTTAGATTACCACATGCGCAGTCACACAGCAGCAACTGTGAAATCCGCTACCTGTAAAATATGTGGCATGGAGTGTATTCATAAAAGTTCATTAGCTATCCACATGAATATCCACACAGGAATGAAACCCCATGTTTGTGTATATTGTGGGAAACGATTTGCCCAGCTGAGCACAAAAATTGGACATGAAATGAACCACGAGAACCCAAACAAGAAGTCACTGGACAAAGACTCCGAAGAACAGAGAACCAAGAACATGTTAGAGTCCTTCGACTGTGATGAATGTCTAATGAGCTTCATCAGCCTGGAACTTCTAAATGGCCACATGATGAAAACCCATGACACCACTTCAAAAGAGATCCCAGACAGCGAGGTAACACCAGAATGCATAAAGCCATACTCTTGCGGAATATGTGAAATGCCATTCCTGTCTGTAAGTGGACTCAGAAAACATAGAATAAAGAATCACCCAGAACACATTGGCGTTGGAAAGGGGAGATACTCATCTCTTGGAAAGAACCTGAACTCCAATGGAAAGACTATGGCTGATAAAACAGTCTCCACTGAGAAGAAAGGAGCAGCTACAAGATCTGCCAGGAACCGAAAGAAAGGGTCAAAAGAAGCAAATGTCAACTTGGGACGTGCATCGACAAAGGGCAACAATTTGTATGACACAGAAACAGCTGACCAACCAACGTTAGATTCAGAGACTGACCCAGCAGATGATTTACCGACACCCAAGCAGAAGCCTGTTCCAACGAAGGATTTACCAAAGTCCAAACAAGGATCAACTGATGGTGAATCTGACAGCAACATTGATAAGAATAAGTGTAATATTTGCGGGAAGTTAGTCCTTGAGCTTCGGAACCACATGAAGTATCACAGTGAGAAGGCCTACGTCTGTCGTGTCTGTGGTATGAGGTTCGCCATCTCCGCCAACCTCAAGAGACATCTCCGGCAGCATACGGGAGAGACTCCGTTCCAGTGCAAGACTTGTGGAGAACGATTCATGAAAGCAGAGGCTCTGAAAAAGCACATGGCAAGACACAAAGGCGAGGAACTGGAGAAGAAGTATGAATGTTCTATCTGCGGCAAGAAGTTCCTCGACAACTATCACTTGAACCGACATAGTGTGGTTCACAACAGCTGGCCTAAAGTACGTGACACTGATCCAGCTAATGGGGATAAATAGCGCTGTAGAGAGGAAGTGGCCGAAATCACGTGACACAGAACAACTGACTGATACAAGATAGTTTTAACCATATAAGTTGGCCCAACATCCGTGACATGGAATAAGTGACTGACACAAGATAGTGTTAACCATATAAGTTGGCCCAACATCCGTGACATGGAATAAGTGATTGACACAAGATAGTGTTAACCATATAAGTTGGCCCAACATCCGTGACATGGAATAAGTGACTGACACAAGATAGTGTTAACCATATAAGTTGGCCCAACATCCGTGACATGGAATAAGTGACTGACACAAGATAGTGTTAACCATATAAGATGGCCCAACATCCGTGACATGGAATAAGTGATTGACACAAGATAGTGTTAACCATATAAGATGGCCCAACATCCGTGACATGGAATAAGTGATTGACACAAGATAGTGTTAACCATATAAGATGGCCCAACATCCGTGACAGGGAATAAGTGACTGTTACAAGATAGGTTAACCACATAAGATGGCCCAACATTGACTTAAGTTAGTGGCACAGGTACTGTGTGTTAATCTTACTTACAGTTTCTAGTAGTGCTATTGGTCCTGAAGTACAATATTTGACAATGAACAATGACAGTGGGAATTACCGGTATACATTGTTTGACGTTTGTGTAGTGAAGTGACTATAGAATAGTGTCTGTCTGTGGTCAAGTCTTGGAAATGACTAAAATACCCAATACACACACTGTTGATCAACACCAGGCACGCACATACTTACAACTGACGGACATTGTTCATTTTATCAGTTTTGTTGGCCTGAAAAGCGCCATGGAAAACACATCAACCGTAAGGTCCAGAACACAACCATGGTACCGGTATAAAGTGAAACACCATCCAATAACCAGTTCTCATTTGTTTTACTGATACCCTCCGTCACACGCGGGAATATGTTTTCTTTTGTCTAGTAGTTTGTTACATGTCTGATACAATAAAATGTGGGACGGTGGGGTAGCCTAGTGGTTAAAACGTTCGACCATTTACTCATTCACTCACCCACTCTCTCCCTCTCTCTCACCCGCTCTCTCATTCACTCACTCACTCACTCTCATTCACATTCGAATGTCGATTCCTTCATGGCTACATGTGTGAAACCTATTTCTGGTGTCCCCTGCCGTGATATTGCTGGAATATTGCTAAAATGTCCTCTTTTATGCCCAGACGGCTTTGAACTTAGCTCTGTGTTACTTGAACCTATCATGGCATGACGTACAAAAATCACGAAGTGATATAAAGGACAATGTGTATTATAGGTTTGTAAATATACAGTAATTAGCTCTCAATAATTATACATGTATATAAAATATCGTTACTCTCAAGTCGACACTATGGTTTAGCAATCAAACTTATGATACGCTTTAGTTGATTTGTTTATCCCGGGTTTAGGGTACTATGATAATTATATTTATAATTTATTCATTTAACGAATGTTTGTCATATGTAAAACTGGCAATAATTATTTATAAACTATCGTTACTCTCCAGTCGACACTATGGTTTAGCAATCAAACTTGTGATACGCTTTAGTTGATTTGTTTATCCCCGTGTGGTGAACATCCTATTTATTATTTATCAGATTTAATGAATGTTTGTCATATGTAAACCCTCGCTTTTACATTGTTATTCATAATTTAAAGAACTGTCTAACATATATTTTATCCATTTAAGATAAAGTGAAGCTTTTTATAATGCTGTCAGTATTTAAAGGAGTTTTTTAATTGTTTTTAATTTTTAACTTTTTGAATAAATTTGATGAATATAACAAAATGTTGTCGGGTTTCTTTTGCTTTGCTTTGTTGTTGTTTGTGTGTGTGTGTGTGTGTGGGGGGGGGGTTTGTTCGGTTTTGGGTTTGTTTTTTTGGTTTTTATTCATTTTATTTTTTTTTATATTGTTTGTTTTGCCATTTGAATATTTACTGAAGTCTGGTCAGTACATATGCAATCGACTTGATACATACCCTAATGGTGAAATAAAGGGAAAACGGTTTTGTAGCCTATATATATTTTACAAGATGTATTCAGTGAATTTTTGAGAGAGAACAATGTAAAAGTGTGGCTATGTTTATACTTCACAATTACATTGCATACATTAATCAGTGCATGAACGACCTTTCATATCGAGGCTTTGAATGTTGAAATGAACCGTAGTCTTTTACTATCTTTTCATGACAAGAAAGCTTTTGGGTACTGTAATCCACTTGCAGCTCTCGTGCCTATTCCATACAATGAATATCTACCACTACTGTGTACATCTGTGATATTACCAATTCTTGAGACCCTTGAAGATCCGGGTTAGAATTGGTCTTCAGCAACCTATACTAGTCGTAAAAGGCGAGTAACGGGATCGGGAAGTCAGGCTCGTTATACCACTATAACGTTGCGGTGATATTGTAATCATTCACTATCGAAACATCTCCGTAGTACAGGGATAATCACACGCCGAATATCGTCTTTTTCATTTCAGACGATGCCATCATTTCAGTGGGGATCCATGAAGATGCGGGTTAGAATTGATCTTCAGTAAATCATGCTTGTCGTAAGAGGTGACTAACGGGATCGGGAGGTCAGGCTCGATGTCTTGGTTGACACATGTCATCGTATCCCAATTGCGTAGATCCACACTCATGCTGTTGATGACTGGATTTTCTGGTCCATACTCGATTCATTTACAGAACCCCGCCATATAGCTGGAATATTGCTGAGAGAGGCGTTAAACAACAAACAAACAAACAAACATGCAAACACAAAAAATTCCAGATGTGATGGACACGGGATTCAAACGAGGACCAAAGATCCATAATGCTTTTGAAAACAGACTGAAAATATGCGATGATAGACTGGGCGCCGTCTCGTTCACTGAAATTGTCATTGCAACAAGCACAGGGAACTTGTCTAACCGCGGCAACGGATTTTTCATTCAAAGAACGATTTAGCCCCATTCGTCACCACTCGCCCCGTCCCGTTACTATTCGGCTTGTCCCCGGAATAAAACGAGTTGGTCACGAATGGATTTAGCCCGTCATCTAAAATCATCATTTTCACTTTATTTCTGTTTTTTTTAAACGGATTTGATGTGTGGGTAAGAAAGCCCCAAATAGTAATATGTGCAACATTGCTATGTTCACTTAACTTGCCTAAAAAGGTTATATACCCTACGGTCTCAGAAGAATCTCAACTATGGTCTTAAAACTTCTCCCATTCCCGTTAGCTCGATATATTTTATGATGAATGGACTGGATCAATTCTGCTCTCGAACGAGAATACAGGCATGAGGTAATCAGATCTGTTCTAACATTTACTGTAAAGTAAGTGATCAGATGAGAAACATGACATTTTACTTCGGTAAAAACGGTACACAATTATATACTGATGTACAAAAGAAAGCACACACCTGGTGTTTTGAGACTATTAAAAAACGTAAATATTTTGCTAGCAATGTTCCAATTGGGTAAGATATCTATGGTCTTATTGCAACACGTACAGAACTTTTCTATATATTACGCTGTTTTAGGAAAACATTTACCAAAGCATCAGGTGTGTACTTTCTTTTGTACGTCAGTGTATTTTCAGTTTTACTGTAAAGTGAATACGGTAAACACAGTAAGTAGTAGTGGAGGTTATTCCGAATAAACGCACATGTGCAAATGATAAAATCTCGGCTTTAGTTAAAGTAATTGCTAGTTTCATTACAGACTATTTTTATACTGATTATATACTCAAACCAAAAATTAAGGATCCCCAATATTCAATATTTAAGTATTATATGGATCATAATATTGACTATTAAATACCTTAATATTGAAAATTGGGAAGGTCCTTAACTTTTTTTGTTGAGTAATATTGTGGACTTGTATCACGACGTCGATGTTTCCATTGACTCCGTATATTCATGTATATACATTACAAAAACATTTGATAGAGAGAATACGGTAATTGTATTTTATAGCTTAGATGCAAGCACAAACATAAACATAATTAAAACACAATTATTATTTATTCATGACATATCATATACTTTGCTGATTATGAAAAAACAAATAAACAAAATTATAAGCGTACAATCGCAAATCAAAAGTGCAATATTTTGTACTTGGGTTTACTACCCACGAAACGAAGCACCTGAGATACCAAACCCAGACAGAGCAGGTGAAGTGCACTTGAGTGCACGAACACTTTCATTGGCTTGTTAATTTGCCGATACGCTCATGGCTCTTTGTGTGTGTATAGAGATGTTTGGTTTTGTACATGCTCACTTTTTGTGCATAACATGACATTAGGCAGGCAGGCAGACACATAGGTGTCAATAAAACAGGCATTGAGTTTGGGCTGTGACAGAGGCATATCTATATCACAGTTAGAAATTCTGACAATGACGTTGCTGTTAAGTATCGAATGAGAACGTGACTCGGTAAGAAGAACGTGTGGTGAAATAGTCAAATGAAATTATATAAACATTTAAATCGGTAATCTACTGTCATAACATATAAAAAAGCTCGCGCCTGTGAAATATCAAGATTAGAAATGTAGCTCACATCAAAGCCTTCACCGAGTATTCACCGCCAGCGAAGGTTTTCCGTCTTGAAATGTCGAACGCCTCACTGGTTGACACATAGCTGAGTAGATCTAGATCCTTAACAAGGTTCTTTTATGTAACGAGTAGATTATTTTAATTACTATTTTGTTGTTTGTGTACACAACCAAGATTAGACTACTCCTGCTCACGACCTTATAAGTTATAATCCGGGCATCCCGCTTCAAGCTGCGCGAACATATTCACTGCGCATGCGCCATGAGCGCCAGCTGAGGTGATTTTAGTGAATCGTTTGAACTCCGATTTCGCGGTGAATTTTTCATCGCGTTATTTTTCAACTTTATAAGTTGAATTTGCATTTTTTGATAAGTTGTTACTGTAAGTCCATACCTAAAGGTATCAGAATCTGCAAAGTTGTGTTTTGCGTTGCATGT